TTTGAATGGGGCAAGATTTTCAAAATAAAGCTAAATATTTCAAAAGTATAAAGTTTACAAAAGTTCTGAATAGAAGCATGAATGTCCTTGAAGAGCTGAACATTTTAATAGCTGAAATAGCTGAAAGTATGCTGAAGTAAGAATTTCCCCATTCATTTGAATGGGGCAAGATTTTCAAAATAAAGCTAAATATTTCAAAAGTATAAAGTTTACAAAAGTTCTGAATAGAAGCATGAATGTCCTTGAAGAGCTGAACATTTTAATAGCTGAAATAGCTGAAAGTATGCTGAAGTAAGAATTTCCCCATTCATTTGAATGGGGCAAGATTTTCAAAATAAAGCTAAATATTTCAAAAGTATAAAGTTTACAAAAGTTCTGAATAGAAGCATGAATGTCCTTGAAGAGCTGAACATTTTAATAGCTGAAATAGCTGAAAGTATGCTGAAGTAAGAATTTCCCCATTCATTTGAATGGGGCAAGATTTTCAAAATAAAGCTAAATATTTCAAAAGTATAAAGTTTACAAAAGTTCTGAATAGAAGCATGAATGTCCTTGAAGAGCTGAACATTTTAATAGCTGAAATAGCTGAAAGTATGCTGAAGTAAGAATTTCCCCATTCATTTGAATGGGGCAAGATTTTCAAAATAAAGCTAAATATTTCAAAAGTATAAAGTTTACAAAAGTTCTGAATAGAAGCATGAATGTCCTTGAAGAGCTGAACATTTTAATAGCTGAAATAGCTGAAAGTATGCTGAAGTAAGAATTTCCCCATTCATTTGAATGGGGCAAGATTTTCAAAATAAAGCTAAATATTTCAAAAGTATAAAGTTTACAAAAGTTCTGAATAGAAGCATGAATGTCCTTGAAGAGCTGAACATTTTAATAGCTGAAATAGCTGAAAGTATGCTGAAGTAAGAATTTCCCCATTCATTTGAATGGGGCAAGATTTTCAAAATAAAGCTAAATATTTCAAAAGTATAAAGTTTACAAAAGTTCTGAATAGAAGCATGAATGTCCTTGAAGAGCTGAACATTTTAATAGCTGAAATAGCTGAAAGTATGCTGAAGTAAGAATTTCCCCATTCATTTGAATGGGGCAAGATTTTCAAAATAAAGCTAAATATTTCAAAAGTATAAAGTTTACAAAAGTTCTGAATAGAAGCATGAATGTCCTTGAAGAGCTGAACATTTTAATAGCTGAAATAGCTGAAAGTATGCTGAAGTAAGAATTTCCCCATTCATTTGAATGGGGCAAGATTTTCAAAATAAAGCTAAATATTTCAAAAGTATAAAGTTTACAAAAGTTCTGAATAGAAGCATGAATGTCCTTGAAGAGCTGAACATTTTAATAGCTGAAATAGCTGAAAGTATGCTGAAGTAAGAATTTCCCCATTCATTTGAATGGGGCAAGATTTTCAAAATAAAGCTAAATATTTCAAAAGTATAAAGTTTACAAAAGTTCTGAATAGAAGCATGAATGTCCTTGAAGAGCTGAACATTTTAATAGCTGAAATAGCTGAAAGTATGCTGAAGTAAGAATTTCCCCATTCATTTGAATGGGGCAAGATTTTCAAAATAAAGCTAAATATTTCAAAAGTATAAAGTTTACAAAAGTTCTGAATAGAAGCATGAATGTCCTTGAAGAGCTGAACATTTTAATAGCTGAAATAGCTGAAAGTATGCTGAAGTAAGAATTTCCCCATTCATTTGAATGGGGCAAGATTTTCAAAATAAAGCTAAATATTTCAAAAGTATAAAGTTTACAAAAGTTCTGAATAGAAGCATGAATGTCCTTGAAGAGCTGAACATTTTAATAGCTGAAATAGCTGAAAGTATGCTGAAGTAAGAATTTCCCCATTCATTTGAATGGGGCAAGATTTTCAAAATAAAGCTAAATATTTCAAAAGTATAAAGTTTACAAAAGTTCTGAATAGAAGCATGAATGTCCTTGAAGAGCTGAACATTTTAATAGCTGAAATAGCTGAAAGTATGCTGAAGTAAGAATTTCCCCATTCATTTGAATGGGGCAAGATTTTCAAAATAAAGCAAAATATTTCAAAAGTATGAAGTTTTGAAAAATTCTGAATAGAAGCATGAATGTCCTTGAAGAGCTGAACATTTTGATACCTGAAATAGCTGAAACTATGCTGAAGTTGAATTTCCCCATTCATTTCAATGGGCAAAAGATTTTCAAAATAAAGCTAAATATTTCAAAAGTATGAAGTTTAGAGAAATTCTGAATAAAAGCATGAATGCCCTTGAGGAGCTGAACATTTTGATATCAGAAAGTCTGATGAAGAAGAATTTTTCCATTCATTTGAATGGGGCAAGATTTTCAGAATAAAGCTAAATATTTCAAAGGTATGAGATTTGGAAAAATTCTGAAGAGAAACATGAATGTATTGAATGTATTTGGAGAGCTGAACATTGTGACACCCGAAATAGATGAAAAAATGCTGAAGTTGAATTTTCCCATTCATTTGAATGGGGCAAAACTTTCAAAATAAAGCTAAATATTTCAAAAGGTATGATGTTTTGAAAAATTCTGAATAGAAGCATGAATGTCCTTAAAGTGCTGAACATTTTCATACCTGAAATAGCTAAAAGTATGCAGAAGTAGAATTTTCCCATTCATTTGAATGGGCAAAATTTTCCTGAAAGACACTACATACGTAGTTTAAAAAGTATAAAGGTTAGAAACAAGAAAAATAATAGCATAAATGTCCTTAAAAAGCTGAACATGTCGATACCTGAACGGTTATCATAGCTGAAAGTATGCTGAAAAAATTAAGTGCCAATAAACGGTTCAGCTTTCACAGTTCTCTCCTTGTCCTATCTCTCAGCACACTGATTGTGGTGCTACCGCAGTCTCTGCAGTGTTGAGGCATGCATTTAATGCAACATTAGTTGAAGGTGAGCCTCAAGCTCCAGGTGTTATAAATATTGCTTGATTCCCACCCACTTCTAAGCTGCCCTGTCTGCGCCCTTTTAAAGACACAGGCAGTATTGCATGAATTCAGCTTAAGCAGTATTTAATCAGAGCATGATACTTTTAGAGCACAAGCTGGCACACATTTTTCTGACTTTACTCTCTGTATGTGGACATCTTCTGAAACTTAGAATCATTCTTTAGGATGAAAGGAGCCTATCCTAGCATTTTCCTTGTGTGGACCACCCAAAAG